GAAGAAAAGTTGAGCTAATACAAGAAATACTGAATATATTTCTGACAGATAAGATTCGGGTTGACTAACCATTTAACTTCATAACTCAAGAATAACATCTGGTAACATAAGTACTAAAAGGCTCTACCTTTTATTGTAAAATCTTAAGTGGCCTAATATTTCAATAAATTATAGTCAATAACGAAATCTAATGATTGATCGAAGAATCATGATCGTAGATGATGCCATTCTCGAAATATCGAGGCTCGCAATTTTTGGGTTATTGGCCAAAATCAAGAGAACTATTGCTTGTTTGAAAAAAATATTCAGAGCACAATTTGCGCAAACAGTTTTTATGGATATACAGTGAGTTTCAGATCTCTAACTTTCCCGATCACAGAAATAGGTCGGTTTAAACAAAAATCGAATTGATCTGTTTTACAGAAAACCGTGAATTTTATTTCTAAAAATAAGTATATTGTCTGGTTGATCATTAAAAGCTACTGAATAGGCATGAAGTCTCATGAAAATATCTAGTCCCACAAATGTACAAAAGGCAATCGAAGTTTAATTTAAACAAACAATTTTTATGCACATATAGTGAGTTTCATGTCTCTAACTTTCCCGATCACGGACAGAGGTCGGTTTAAACGAAAATCGAATTGATCTGTTTTATAGAAAACAGAGAATTTTATTTCTAAAAATAAGTACATTGTCTGGGTGATCATTGAAATTTACAGAATTTAGATCGAGTCTCATGAAAAAATCTGGTCCCACAAACGTACAAAAGGCAATCGAAGTTTCAACTTTGGACTCGATTTTCTCGAAAACTATCGATAAGAGAAACCTCATAGTCGCACTAAAGGACTCAGTTTTTATGTCCTCACAACTTGGCAGAGTTTAAACTTGAAAGAAATTAATTTTTACCCATTTTTCGCCCATTTGTTTACAAGTTTGATGCATAAATGTTACAAATGTGTTAAATGTCTTTTAAAAGAGTAAAAACCTTTTTCTTCATTGTTTTTGTGCTTTACTTATGTTTTGACCTAAAATACGGTATGGTAAACATGTTAAATGTTCAGAGTTTAATGTATAAGCTCTTATGTTATTCAAATCGCAGTTTTTATGCTATTACAAACCCACACTCCATACTCTTCATACAAAATAGATTCAATAATGACTTCAAATTTGGCATTTTACTTCATAATTTTAGTGAAGAAGATGTTCAAGTTAATAACACAATGTTTCATTCGTTGTTTGCTAAACTAATGACTAGCTTTCATGACTTTCATTTTTGTGCAAGATCAACCAAAGCTCAAATTAGTTTCGTTATTACTGTTTTACAGACAGAAATCAAATAAAGTTTATGAGAATTGATCCAATTGAAATTAGGTTTGCTTAGATTTGAACTCTTCGAGTCCCTAAATCTTATTGATCTCAATATTTGAAGATCTCTTTTGAAACCATGAGTGCTTCTTAATCGGTTAATGAAACTGAATTTATAATGGTCTTACATAAACATTGATACATGACAATAATAAAAATTGTAGTTGGAACCAGAAAAGAAATTTGATTTTAAATGTGATATTTATTGAATATCACATTTTTAAGACTAGAAATTCATACAATTGTTGAATTAGATCATTTTTTGATATTGTTACATAATCGAAGGTTGAAAAGACCACATTTAGACTTGAACAATTGTCGGTTATCCTTAAGCTCATTGATGACAGTCTTCCAGTCGACATCAGTAGAGGTTGATTCAGCTTTGGTTGATTCAAGGAACTTGACTAAACCATCAACATCACCGGCATGTTGGTACTTCAAGATATCAGTTTTGTGGGCCAAAAGGAAAGAGACTAAAGTTTCTCGTTTAACTGAAGTCAATTTAGTTCCAGGTCCAGTGTTTCTCACAGCCCAAGCAACGAGAGATGGAAGTCCGTGTTCCTTTTCCTCACTCTGTCCAGTTACTTTCTTCTCAAGAATCTTACCGAAAACAAGAACCCAATGGACTCCTTTAGTACCTGATTCATCAGCATGATCCTTTAAAAACTTGGTAGCACCAATGATGTTGAGTGAGTTGTAGTACTTAAGAAACTCATCTCGATACTTCTCAGTAAACTGATAAAACTTAGCTGCGTCAATCTTAGCTGCTTGACAGTCCTCTTTAGGGTCAGCAGCAGCCCAGAGGAGCAATGGGATTGCTTCAGTAACAGCACCACTGTTAGCGATTTCATCGCCTGAAATGAATGATAAAA